TACAATTAAGAGTACATATATACATCAGTCACATGTTGAGTAGCCAGGCTAACCTATCAGACCTGTGCTAGAAAATGTACCAAAATCGTTATGTTTGGCAGATATATCGAGTAGATGAAAATATTAATTTATCATTGGTAAGACATATTGTGTCAATTCCCTTGGAACTTGTGTAATCAGTTATTTCTATAAACAAATAGTAGTCAGTACACAGGGAGCCCAGGAATTATAATCAACTGTAATACGCAGTCTCTATGAGCGAGGGGGGGGGTTATCGGCTGGTATCTAGTGTAAGAAATAGACAAGGGATGAAGGCTCCAGCCAGCTCACATTTTTTAAACTCGAAAAAACAGACGAAAAGAATGAAAAATAAAATCTAAAAAAAAATACCAGGTTGAAGAATATTAGTTGCTCCTTCAAATTTCGCCAAAGCCTTGCCTACATTTTACCGGTATCTGTAGAATAAATCAAGAAAACTACACAAATTGACTCCATTTGGGAATTCCTAACGGTTTGCCCGAACGCGCGGCACAGTTGAAGGCGTGGCCTGTTCAACATTTGTCAACAACCAATCACATGACTGGGCTCCCTGTGGTCAGTATACGTCATAAGGTGATATTCTCTGTATGGAAAATCCATAATACAGGCTTTATATCAATGCCTCTTTTATAAATCCTGTATCCGATCCTGGACAGACCTACCTTGTGTAAACATATTTACAAAAGTGCTGATGAGGCTTGCACTTAATACACGCCTACTGTAAAAAAAATGCTATTCTGTATAAAAGAGGAATAGTCCGGCATAATATTTCATTTTTGATTATTCTGGTCCGCTGTGCAGCTACATGTAAGTACAGTACACTTTTTCATCATAACACATTGCTACTTAAATTATGATTTCAAATGGCTTTCCTTAGTTATGAGTTGGATTGCCAGTCATTTTGTAGCGATCAGCTACTCACTAGACGAATACTGCGATTTGCTGCATACACAAAAGATAAAAACATTATACAGCATCAGTTCGTGGGGTCTCGTATGTAGCCTATGCTTTTGCGATGACTGTGAGCTTGTCGTTACATAGGAACCACCCAGCGTTATGCATTTCTTCCATCGTTTGATGCAGCTCTGGACTCCGTTTTTGTAGAACTCCCCAGGTTGGTCCTCCAACCACGTCGTAACTTCAGAAATCAAGGCTGCATTATCTGGGAAACGCTTTCCTTTCATAAACAACTTCATGCCTGGGAAGAGATAAAAGTCAGAGGGTGCAAGGTCAGGAGAGTAAGGGGTATGGGGGAGGATTTCATAGCCACACGCTCGTGCCTCTGATTTGACGAGATGCGAGTTGTGGACTGGAGCGTTGTCCTGCAGGAGGAGGATACATTTGCTGATCTTGCCCCGCCCCTTGGTTTTGATAGCTTCTCTTAATTTCAACAAAAGTGAAGCGTAATAGGCTCCTGTAATTGTGGTACCCTTTGCCAGGAAATCTGTCATCACTCACTCATCCTGGAGCACTTGACGCGTTCTTGCTTCTGGAAAGGTGTGAGCAACCTGGGAATCCATCTGGCAGACACCTTATGCATATGCAAATGGTCATAAATGATAGTTTCCACGGCCCTGTACTAATCTTGACCTCTTGGGCTATTTGGTGAACAGTAATGCGTTGATCTTCCAAAATGGCTGCCTCAACTTGACGAACAGATGCCTCATCAATGGCAGAAGAGGGACGACCATGTCTGGGAGCTGTTTCCACAAACTTCCGGCCATGTTTGAATTCACGATGTGTTGTACAAGGTTATATGATGTGGCATCATCACCATAAGTTTCTTTCATTTCATCAAAAGTCTTCTTTGGTGTGCGTCCTTTCAAACACAGAAACCGGATCACTGCGCGACACTGAACTAGCTCCATTTCACACCTGACTCAGTTCAAACACCTGTAAATTAGAAACTACAATTAATTCAAAGCTGTTTTTTGTAACATAATCCATAGAGATGTGAATCATTATTCATGCAAAATTTTATCTAGATCAGACAACTGGAAGTGGGTCAGGAGCATTACTTATTGAACGCTCCTCGTACATCAGATGACAAACACACTCTAAAACAACCACTGCCGGCCAGTTTAATATCTTCCGATTCAAGGCTTGTGTCTCAGAAACTATTCTTCAAGGCCATTTGCATTTGAGAGTCGACTTACCTCTTCATGATCCTGTTCCACTTTATGATGGTATGCAAATGATCCTATTTTGCATATCATACCAATAATATACTTTTTTCCTAAATAGCTGACATGAATATAAAAGTACATTCTCATGTGCATAACGGGTTGTCAAAAAAATTACTTGTGTTGTTGATGCTTATCAACACTTCCTTGAATATCTGTATTCATTTGTTAAACTTACGAAATCGCGGAGAATTTCATCTGTGGACGTCGGCGGCGGACATCTTTGATTCACGTGGCATCAGAGTGAGTAATATCACTTACTTGGAGGGAGACATCGAAGCTGGAAGCATGGAAGTTCGATAAACAAGATAAACGACACCAAATAGCGGCCTCGTATTTTGTTTTTTTTTCAGTGTACAACAATGTTTTCAAAATTATTAAAAGTCATTCTTTTTTTTACCCATGTCTTTATGTGGTACACCCCCGGGTACACCTTTTTAATGAAATGTAATACGTGTTGTACAATAATAATCATGATTTAAATAATTTCTGAACAGCTTACACAAAGCAGTGTATGGAAACGATAACACAAAGTATGTAATCAGTACACGATCATATCGACCTCCACAATGCGTTGATATCCACATTATTGTATCTTATCATTATTTATTCACAAACATAAATTAAATTTTCTGCTATTGTAAAATTTTTTTTTATGAAAACAACTCAACATTTCCCGTTTTTTAACCATTCAGATTTGGTGTTCGATAGAATTAGTTGACAAATATGGAGTCGCTTCGTCTTGTTCTATTATTGTTGACCCTGGTTGTTGGCTGTGTATATATGGTAACTATACTGTGCTATTTAAAGCGAAAGGGTCGTCACCTGCGCACGCGCGGGAATTGAGTTCCAAGCGACGATAACAACACACGCTAAAACGCAAAGGGTGGACGCTTGTTTGTAAACAATGACACGCTATGGTCATCTGACGCATGCGCAGGTGACGACTCCCCCGCTTTAATTGACTTCTATTCTGCCTTATAAAAACATTATTAATCGAGGCAATTGTAGTGCATTGCAACCTAAGCAATCAGTTGCAATCTAATAAACGTGTTATAATTTAATTATTATTCTAGGAGGAAAATCAGACGGAAACAGAAGAACAAATTGGGTTCCCAGGAGCTGACTGGTCGCATGTTTTGACAGATGAGCAATTATCTGCAGATAAAGATCTGCAAACTAGGAATGCAGTTCCAACAAGTAAGTACAATAGTTTATTTTGGAGATGAAATATGTTTTTACTATTTCTTTCCATTTACAGTTCTATATTGTTTAGAAGCGAATGAAAATACACCGCATCCCGATTGAAAATAAATAAAATAATATAATGGAGGGAATTAAACATTGCCAGACAATCCTGTCACTGTGAAAAATGTTGTGATATTGAGTGAATTCACAATTATAGAGAATTCTTTGTGATTACATCTCACATACACGTCTTGCAAAACTACTTAACAGCGTAGAAAGTATATATATAACTTAATGAAACTAGTATATTTTGGGATATTCGCAAACAAACGTATGGTTAAATTAACGGGATATCTTTATAAAAGTTATCATTTCGTCTTCCAAAATAATCACAAGTATACCAAAACACCATACAACTTATCAGGGAATGTTTTAAATGACATTTCAAGATACAAATATGCAATAAATTATACATTTATATTTGATACATTCGTATTTCATTATACAGACTGTTCTTATTTTCAGCTATATATGGCGTTGGACTCGATCTTCAAGTCTACACTAGAAGTGATATTCAGGGGACATGGTCTGGTCCAGCACCCTACAGCTGCTGTGTAATTTCAATAACAGCTCTGCAGGATGGCACTCTCCTAGGTGTGGGTTTAAATCTTCTATTGTATACCAAGGCCACTGTAAATTCAATTTGGGTGGGACCTGTGGCGAATAGTGGTTTCATGTTGGACGTCACTCAATTGCCCGATGGTTCACTCGTTGGTGTTGGCATCAACTTCCTGTTATATACTCGTCCTGGTGTCCAGGGTACATGGTCTGGTCCTGTGCCATACAGTGGATTCGTGAAATCTTTATCGGTGCTACCAGATGGACGATTAATAGGTGTAGGATTAGGTGGTCAATTGTGGACAAGACCTGGCGTACAAGGATTCTGGTCGCTTGTGAATCTGAATGGTTTTGTTGGTGATATATCCGTGAATAAAAACGGCGAGGTCATTGGTATTGGAATTACATGTGGTTTGTGGGAGAGACCTACCTATACCTCGTTCTGGCAAGGTGAAATTGCAAGCAGCCGATGTGTTATTTCTGTATCGTTTGAAAAATAAATACGGTTAGTATTTTTCCTTTTTGTTCAACTCCGACTCTGATACTCATTTATATTGAAATATATTTATTTTTACATTTTCGTTTTTATTTAGGCTAGGTTGATTATTTAATATTGAACCTATCAATCCAAACATTTTCAGTGGCGGCGGCCCCAGGTGGACAGAGTGGCGTCGCCCCTCCAAAATCAAGCTGAAACCTTTTGTGTCCGCAAAATTTGCCCCTCAAAATACAGGAAAAAGCGTTTCAAGGAGTCTAGATTTCAATTTTTTAGGAGGAACATGACCCCGGACCCCCCTAGTAAGGTCGGCGAGGTTGGTGAGCAGATCTCGTCCCTCCATGCAAAACTTCGTGCCGCCGCCTCTGATTTTCTATTTTATTGTGACACTGCATTAACAGGCTCTGCACTGGATACTCGGTGACTTGCCCGATGGTTTCGTTTATGAAGGTTGTTTACACAATCAACCGAGATAATATTTTGAGCTGAAATCTACTAAATGTGACAATTAGCTTAAACTCTTATATAAACCTATAATCTCTAATAATTTTATTCCGCTTTTTTATTTAGGGGAATTAACAAAGCTATGAATGATTGTATACTACGATGCTAATGGGATTATATGGATAATTACGGCCTTAGCTATTAGGAAATAAATCTCCCCGAAGATGCGGTCATATTTATGAGAACAAGTTAATATATATATATACATGATTAAAATCGCTTGTATATTTTATTGCACGAACACACAATAAAGTATGTAGAAAAAGCAAGATCCTTGTGTCTTACCATGCATCATTTATGTGTGAAAAGAAACGTTATTTAATTACTTAATTAAGATCTTACACATACAGAATAATCGTCAAAAGATATACTCTCATTGATTCATACCACTTCTGGTCACGTGACCCATTCTTCTTGTCGCTGGTTTATTTTTGTCCTCATGCCGATTGTAAACTGGCTACACTTGCTACTGGCTACAGAGTGTAATTAATACAGATACATGTGGCATATTTTGTAAACCAACATTGCCTTATTTTTTTTCAAACCGACATTGTGAATCAAACCTTGGGTAGGACTGAGCAGCTTTAGCAAAGTACCGTGACAACATCTGGAGTCGACGAGGGGATCCTCAATTATTGAAAAAGTTGGAAAAAGAAGATGTTTGAATCCGTAACATCAACCACAGAATCTAGAGCCTCTAGCGACTGGGCTACTGGATTTCCGATGGAGGTTTCTGCGAGAAAAAATAAATGTTGTTGGAAAGATCATATCAATGTTATACATTGAATTGTTCATGGGCAAATGTAAAAGGTGTACAATACATCTTTTGTATTGGTGTAAATCATTGACCGATTGCTAAATATTTAAATGTTATCGCTTTTTCGTGGTGTAAACAAAAGCAACAAACCCATTTGTGTCACGACGTAAAGTAACATCACGTGCTACTATTCATCAATACTTTCATGCAAAATGTATTCCAATAATTTGCATATAATTTGCATGATTTACTGGATGTTGTTGTTCATTGACTTAGTTGCAGTCTATTTGACCTATTTGATATTATTGCCTTTAGGTATCAATCATAATAAATGTAAAAGTCTTATCTTTTACATTGATTTTTTTACATCTCCTATACCTATAGGTAGTGCTCATGATTTACGAAAGATTGGTTGTATGAAAGACCTAGGTGTTATCATTTAACAAAAATTATTATACGAGCAATTTACATTAGTTTTATCAATACTGAAGTGTGCATTCATTATTAAAATAGCGTTAGCACGCATCGACCCAAAAGAGAAAGGGGGTACAATACCACTTTTAGTTTCATGACCTTTTCATGTTTTATATAGCGACAACCATATTTCGTCTACCCAATTTATATAATTTGCAAATGCCAAGAGGTTTCAAAAAATAAAAAAAGCCAAAACGTACTATCACGTTCTTGCGTTGGTTACAGTTTCTGCGTGGTCCGCACACAACAGAAACGCTGATGAGCGTTACAAGAGATTACTTTATCGATGCAAGGAACACGTTCAAGTAAATTACAGAATCATTTATTAAGCCCAAAGATGCGCAACGTTCGCATACGTAAATTCAAGCAAACATTGTATAAACAAAACAAATAATAACTATGCTTGGCTGACAACGTAATGTAATCAACATGATGGGACGTTAAATTATAAAGAATGCTCTCACAACAATACAATTCATTACAATAAAACTGCCGCCTCGAACAGGGTTATCTGGTGGTGTTTCTGAGTGTGAAATCTACGTTGCCGGGTGTTTTCAGTAGTTCAACTTTTCACCTGACTGAAGGCAACGCAGTTAGTACGGTAGACTCTCGGCGCAATTTTGTACTGAATAATGGTCTCTCAATTGCCTTCACAGCCACACGCTGACACATGTGGAAGACCTTTCCCGGTGTGTGGTTCAACTACAGTCCATCTATCAGGGGGTATGTGGTTCAACATAACTGGTCACAAAACAGTCACCTGTAACATCACACAACATTTGTTATAGTCACTAGCCCAAGCACGCTTGGCGTTGTCCAAATCCACCAGCTTCCTCGCATACATGCAATTGGATCAGATCGCGTAATGAGTGCACGTGCTCCAAGATACCATAAAATCATTATCATCAATTATTATTATTATGCGTGTTCATTTAATCAGGTCACGTGCCAGGTTTTACGTCATTCTCCAATCTATGGTTCAGTGAAAATACCTAAGTGGGTGTACACCCATACAGTACCCATATATATATCTTGTGTTATTACATTGTTCGGGTCTTACTAACTACAACTAGGTGTGATAGGTTTGACAATTAATACAATATACGTTTTGTACGTCCACCTTGAGTTCTCAGTTTCAAAGATTTGATTATACAATGACTCACCATTCCAGAATATAGCGCCCTAAGACTGCACGTCGCAAAGTTGATATCACGTATAAAATACTTCTTCACAGCAAATTTCGAAAAAAAAAGGAAAATAAATTCTGTTAGTTATTCTATAAAAAGTTCAAATTCCAAATTGTTAGCATTTCCTATTTATGTTACAAGTGTCTTATTCACAAGGCAGAATAAATTGCGTACTTGATAGTTTATTTCACAAAATGTTAATGTTTCAGTATAGGGAGTTGCAAGCTTTTCCTAATCCACATTTTCATAGTGTTAAACACATTCTACACTATATTCAATAGCGTGTTAGTAATTAGTTCATGGGCTTTTGACTTGAAAATTTCAAAATTGAAGTCCGACGAGAGTTACGACCGTATCGTAATGTTGTATATTTCAAAGGCAAAATTACCTTATACTAAAGAGATCACAAGACTCCCTTTTCCTTCCATTCCCCCTGTCGTTGCACTCACTGTTCTACACGTGTAGTCATATGCATGCTTTCTGTAGTCAGTCAAGCTGACCCATGTGTTTTGTGGTCGGCTCTAAACATGTTTTAAACTGTACTCAATTGAACATTGGCAGTTAAAGGGTTTCGGAAAGTGATTAATAGTGAAATGTGTGAACTTATTGAAATAAATTGATGTGCATATCAAACACAGCATTACATTGTTCCATTAGTGTACAAAGTTTGATTGATATCTGCTGCGAAAATATTAAATATATAATTAAATTAAATAATAATATATAGCCGAGAAAATATTGCATATGCACAGAGAGAAAGAACGATGTTGACGAAAGTCCCAGCTGCACGCTGCAATGAAGACCAACTGTTGAAGAAATGCTTGTGATTCATGTTATCTGCATGTAGCCCCCATGAATGTACTGCAAATGTGGGAAGACTTTGTCATGTTTAAAGGTTATACGATAATCACACATGTTCTGATTAGATCATATTTTAATCAAAAAAGTCTGATTTTGATGAATTATGAAATATATAACATTGAATATATGACTTTGCTCCAAAGTATCAGATAAGCATTACTGAGAGTTACACTATTTGCCATGCCACCAACATAAATACCGTACTCGACCATGTTAGCGCCCACGGTCCTCAACTCATAAAATCGGATTTTTTTAGGGGTGGGCGCTTACTCGAGCACCCCTTCGGAAAAGTGCAAATGACAATTTTAATTCACTGTGTGACAGATTGAGGGGGATATTACGTCTTTGAGGGAAAATAAAATTACGAAGTTAGGTGCGTCGTCATTGACTCTTACAATGAAGAAACAGAAATGGTCAAATATGCACATGTTATTACAATATTAATTACGTACCACCCGAATTTACGAGATTGGAACACAGTCGAAGTCAAAATCTTCATCATTATCGCCACTGTGTATGTGAGAAAATATACGCCTGAATTGACTGTGAACATTGTTTGATTGTACAAAGCACTGTTTGGGGTGGACGGGCCTTTCTTTGAAAAACAGAAGCTAGTTTGCCATTCACATTAATTTTCTATCCTTCCAGTTCAGTGAGCTAATAAAAACAAGCAGCCTGTCGACTGAGATAGCTCCGCTATTAGCAATGCACATTTCAATAAAGAACAGAAGATATCATTAGAAAATGTCGAAAATATCACTTTTTACCAAAAATATTCATCAAAATTAGAGAATTAAAGATATCATTACAAAATGAACAAATTTTAGAGAGGTCCACGTGTAGTACCTATATATGTAATATCAAAGCAATCGGACTTGCGGTTTTTAACAAGAAGTCGAAAATATCACTTTTTATCAAAAATGACAAAAATATTCATCAAAATTAGAGAATTAAAGATATCATTACAAAATGAACAAATTTGAGAGAGGTCCACGTGTAGTACCTATATATGTAATATCAAAGCAATTGGCCTTGCGGTTTTTAACAAGAAGTCGAAAATATCACTTTTTACCAAAAATGACAAAAATATTCACCAAAATTAGAGAATTGAAGATATCATGAAATGAACAAATCTAAGAGAGATCTACCCAAGATACATATACACCAAGTATCAAAGCATTCAGGCTTATAGTTTTCAAGAAGAAGTTGAAAATGTAAAACATTGACACGGACGACGGACAAACACTCGTATGATAAGCTCCCCTTGACAAAGTCGACAGCGGAGCTAAAAAACACTTTCATATAATTATAATAACAAATAGTTTATTAAATTACTCTCTCAATTCACTCAATAAAATACATTGTATTTTACCCAAGTATGCTTCGTAATTATAGTGACCACTATCTGTATGGCAGGACACTGTATCGCACACAAGATATTTCTTAATTCACATAAGGAGCACAGTAATGCTGACAGTATTAAAATAGAATATCCCACTAAGTATTACTGTTACAATTAATTGTACTGGTTTGAACCAGTGCACACGGATTATAAGCATCCTTCTGCTTACAATAAGGATCAGTTAGAAATTAAAATTGCTGCATCACCTCCCATATTAGCCAGTTTTTGTCTCTGTAGAGTGAGATTATACAAGTATATATATATATATATATATATATATATATATATATATACAACTTTTATGTAGAGTTGAAACTTTTGATGAAAACAACAATGCATTAAACTTCTCCCAAGTGTTTTTTATGTCCTATACTCTAATTTCTTCATATTTCATGAACCATTTGCTGGCCATATTTCCTTTCCAAGCAGCTAGATTAAGATAATATAAATAGTAATAGTAGACTGTCCAAGCAATTAATGCACCACAGTTGTTTGATATACACTATGCCATCATTGCTATGGATAACATGTGATGTATAAAAAGTGTATTTACACAAAAACGCTCTGTCTGAAAAATGTGGTATACATGGTGATAGAACATATCAGACATTTACATAAATAACAATCATGATTATATGTACTGAAAAACAAAACACAGATTCTGATAGGCAGTGGAATGCTATCAGTGCACATACTTGCATATAGAGGTAATAAAGCATTGAGTGAAAACCACATATTAAGAATACAAACATAATAATGTATGTTCTGTAAACAGACAGTTTTTGATTGGAACCCTATATATATGCATACATATTTAGTGATAGGCATACCTAAAAACATGCAAGTTCCTCTCCCCTTCAATATAGGTGTAGATTGATTCTATCTGAGATTCTGGAATTACTGAACTGATATTGATAATAGCTGACAGTATTACGGTACATAACCTCACATATATTGTCTGACACGTATATGTACCATAACATTCAACCAGCCCCATGCAAGTGATAGTAACAATGTCACCACTGCTTAGTACCTGTGACAGACAGCAACACAAAGAAAGCTTGTTCTCTCACAAATATATTGAATACGTATTGCCCAGTAACTAGGTATACACACACGACACTCTTCAGAACAGTAAAGGTAATACTCTTAACTTAAATTAACAACTTGGTCTCAAGAGGTCATTAAACGTCCATTCAATCTTCAAAGAAACATAAAAAATCCCTGTTTTTCTGTATGAATGGATTCTGTATAGACTGTTATAGTGAAACTGTGTGGCAACAACAAAAATATGTTCACTGCAAATCCATTTTTTTATACAATCTTATTTATATTTATATGTACATGTTCAAGGTGATGATACAAATCTGCATAGCTGTAATAACAATTGCCAATTTGCAGCACTATTATTTAATGTTCGACATTCTCATACAAGTTCATAATATTTACAATTTTTTGGATCAAAGTAACAGTTAAGGCACGGATCATAAAGCAGTTCCAGTTCTTCGTCTCCATCACTCTCGCCTTTACCAGAGTCATCTTTCCGTCCATAATCATCTTTCCGACTATCTTGTTTCAAGGGACCTGAAATCAAAAACATGATTATGTTTTATATAAGCTGGAGTTGTATACTGTCCATACCGTATGGAGTACAATATGTGTAGCACATGCGCAAGTAATTCACATGTTGATATTGATGGCTGTTGCCTGAAATTTGGCATGAAATTACAAGCCTTGTGGTGTTGACCATAACTTTGTTGGAAAAAAGATTAGAACTAGTCATGATATTACAGGCAACTATTTTCATCATTGGAACTGTGAATGGTGATGTACAATATACAAATGGTGATGCCCACATTGATAAAATGCATGTCTTGGAAGCTAACTGAGGGTACATCAGCTTATTAAAAGATTATCACAAGAATCCTGCAAAGTACACACAAAGGCAGTAAAATGACCATACCATACCATACAAATATTCTGATGGGATTTTATTTCCATCACAAACTATAGCACCTCTGTGTTTGAATGTAAACAATGAAATGTTTTCAAATATGATGTCCGTCCATAACTCTGTGTTCATAACTCGAACTGTTTCGCATATCTTTGAAAATCAACACTAACACTTAATTAGCATTTACACACTAGCAGACTTACTTTGCACAGGTAAGGTAACATGATTAGTCTTCATCTTTTCACTAGGTAATACAATCGGTGGACTAAACACATTAGACCATTCTCTGTAAGTCAGCAAATAATAATGAAAATCAATTATACTCCTTCCACACTGGATGGTTTATTGCTATGAATTGATTGTTTTTTTCAGAGCATCTCAATAAGCATAGTTACATGTGCCCTTTTTTTATTTTAAAATTGTCACGAAATATTTTCAACATATGAATCAAAAATTCAACTGTATCCAGTATGTTAATTGTATTAGGTAAAAAAAAAACATGAACTAACCTTGGATTTGACTGATTGAGTTGGTCTTGTGAATATGGTAAATGCATCTCATCTCTGTAATGATGAGATAATAAGGCAGGCACCTACATATATGAGAGGAAAATCACACAGTAAATATGTGGCTAATTTGTAAAAATTTAGACAGTTTAAGCTATAATTTAAGTTTAAATTCAACATTTTAAGCAAATAAAAAACAAAGGGGTACCATGGGAACCATAGTTGTTTATGCCTTACTCTGGAGGCCATTTTAAATTAAAGACTGGCTTGAATTATTATAAACGAGGTTAATATAATTCAAATCGTTCTTCAGACATTCAATTCAGCCATAGGAAAGAACTTAATTTGGGGAATTTCTGAGTCATTACTACATTTGTATTAATAATAGAGAGCACAAGGTTGATTTGTATGATCTAGACTGTTCTCTGTTTATGCATAAAATTAACTACATGTCCAAAATGGTGGTTGTATCTTGGTGGTGAAATACATCATTATATGTTATATTTATATCATTATATTTCCCGCATGAATGTTTGTGTCTAGCATACATGTACAATATAACAGGGTACATACAGGCCCTCTCCATGTATTAAAGCTAGTATCATCACTAGAGCTGCTTAGGTCGTCATCACCGCCATAGTTATGTCGATCAAGATCATAACGTGGTTTGTCAAAATCTTCATCATCCTCTTCATCCATTTCTTCCAGTTGCTGCCTTTTTAAACTTGCAAGCATACTAGCTTCAAACGATGATGATAGCGAGTTGTCAGGAGATGCATACTTCCGCCAATCGTACTCCTGAGAATTATGAGGAATAACACAGTGAAAATCATTTTAGGAGCAAAGAATATTGAAAGGAACCTATTCTACCCATACTGAAAACTTACGGAGGTTCATTTAATAGGGCAGTTTATGTCAAATGTTCACCAAGAAAACGCAATTGTCTTTAGCTTTCATTAGGAAAGCCTGAGTCTATTATACTATAATTGTAGGTAGAGCTAACCGAAGTATATTTTAACTAACATGTTTTTTTATCTCAAGCTTACACTAATACATTAATTGTTAAGATCATTTAATATGTAAGTGTACACACATTTCTAAGGTAAAAGGTAAAACAAGTTCTTCATAAATTTTTGTGGTTTTGAAAACTGTTAAATTTACCAAATTTCAACAAATTTTGGGAGAAAATCTGATAAATTCACAAATTTTAAAATAATCAGCAGAGTACAAAAATGCACTTTTTCAAGTGCACTAATTCAATTACCAAATAAATGTAAAATCATAAATTAAAGCGACAGTCAGTGCGCTATATCACGTTCCAAATGTATCTCATCAGACATATACAAAACATGTAGATTACAAATTATTTTTAACATGAAATTTAAATACCAGGGGCATATCAAGATACTCACCGAAGACACCCTAGTAGGGCTAACTGCTGATAATCTTGCATCATCTTTTGGAATCTCCCGTACTCTTTTAGAGCTAATACTAAGTCTTGACTGACTGGTACCTGGTGTGGTTGGCTCATCAGGTGTGCTGTGTTTGTTAGGTACTTGCAATAGCTGGCCATTGGGACTTGGGGTCCGCTGCTGTGATCTAGGACTGGGTGTTCGTCTCTGAAGCTTCCTGATGACATCAGTGATCTCGTCATCCTCATCAGCATAGAAATCCTCTTCAGGTCTTGCCCCCCTCGACACCATCAGAGCTTGTTGACTTTCTCGTAAAAGTTCAACTTCATTTTTCATACTTGTCTGAAATTTTATAAAATATAAGGCATGATACAAATAATGAAAAACATTCTGTCTGAAGATGTTTCAAAATGTAATTCAGGAAACGTCTTTAATTTGTTAATTATAAATTAATAATGCATAATTCCTGTTCACTTAATATTCCCTGATACAGAATTTGATTTTACTACAAACTCATTACGGCAATTACATACAATTTCTGAAATTACCTGTGCCAGCTATAATAAGACTATATGATAGGTATTAGTTCTGACTTCTTAAAGTATTACACTCACCAATATTGCTTTATGATTGACACCAGTGAATAATTTATCTTTTCTCATTGGCGTTGATCTCGGTGGTGATGTGAAGGTATAGATCAAATCGCTGGAATCATCTCTGTCAAAGATGGAATTTTTAATCAATGGATAACTAAATGCAATTTGATATGAATATGAGGTTATTATGAGAATACCTCAAAAACAGTACAGCTGGAGTATCGGCTGACGCGTAAAATACCGCAAAATTACGTTCTGTTAGCTTCATCTGTCGATAGGCATTTTCGTTGCTTACACCGAGACAAACACAAGTACACAGTCGATAAAACTGCCATACAGCCTTTGTGCATAATTTACAGCATTTTCATAATAAACTAATATAAATAGTATCACCTCATGAATACACTACAACATAGTTGAACTCTGGTGACCTTGCCCTTTGTTATATAATATAATTCCCTTTATCATAGTTTGTTTCAATATAAATATGCATTGTCATAATTAATTTTGAATACAAACAAGTTTTGGGGTTGAACCAACAGTGGGGAATCAGTCTACCGAATGTCCTTAAAAGATGTAAATATCTTACAAAAACATTGGTGCCTTATTTGTTTAATTATTTTAAGGAACATAATTTCCAGCTTTATTGAAAGTAATTGAGATATTTTAGAATAAAAACAAATGTCTCATTGCAAAAAAAAAGTGCTGCATTTAGATGTGAATAGATTCATAAAACATGCAAGATAACAGAAAAATTTAGCTGGCTTTAGTTCAAGTATTTTGTACAGGTGTCTGTCAAAAATTAATGATTCACTGAGACAAATATGAACTGCCTCATTGTGTGACTACTGTATTATATGAAAAGTAAAAAAATACACCCTTTATGAATAGCTATCATGTTGCAAGCTCTGCTTTGTATGCAAATCAACTTAAATAGTTGGTGTCCAGTGGAAGGAGAAGTCAACAGCACTGTTGCCGCCTGAGAAACTACATCTTCAAACACTGCAATCTCTGAAGTGCGTTTTTAAACTAGTATTATAAAAACTCTATCATTCTGTTCTAATA